CAACAAAGAGATATAGCACTATAAGGTAGGACTAAAACTAGGGGCGAAGAGTGATGCCACAACGGTTGAACAAAACAGTGATTAAGGGCATTGCCTTCACTTGTCCAATTGATAATTTGCTTCTCAAAGAATATTCTTATCCAGTGTGGACTGAAATGTCGAAAAGCCTAGGTCTCATTAGCGATCCCGATGGGATGTTGAACTCGGGTAGTGCAAGGTTTGCTATCAACAGGCCATCACTTATGCCACATAGCCATTGCCAAAACCTGGAGTAAAAGCAGCTCTTATTCAAAATATACTAGCAGTTTTCAAACATGTTTAGTACAAATATAAAAAAGCTAACCTTAGGATGTGCCATCGGCTGTTCTATTCTGGAGGGCATCGGACTGGAATATTTGAGATCAGTGCGATCGGAGCATGTGATTGCTACCAGTGGAGTTTTTTCTCCAATTATGCTTAGTCTGGATAGAGTTCCGCTTTGTCCAAGGTGTGTATGGGCTGATAAAAGGCCCATGGATGAAGTCAACGGGTTTGGTGTAGAGATGATATGTCGGCAAGTCGACGGAGAATGTTCAGATATGCGCTTTGGGAGGGAATAATGAAGATGCTCAGGATGGTGTTCAGGAGAGTAAAGAAGCGAATAGCTTCCTTGGTCCACGCAACCAGGTGTAACTGACGGATAATAACGGAGAGTTGAATGAGGACCAGCATGCACCGATTCTAGAGTTCTTGTGCCAGCTATTGAGTTAGAGTCAGCTTCAGAATCGAGAGAAAGGGATGAAAAAATGGATGGTTGTGCAGGGTTTCGATCCTTTATATCATAAGCAGCATTCTTGTGTGACTCAAATCCTGACTCAGTGAACCCTAAAATTGGCCTGTGGTTATTCACCTTTACTGGCAGCATTGATTTGCGACGACGCTGAAGTTGCTGGTGCTGTAGGCTTTCGTGATGATCTGTTTGGAGTTTATATTGACCTCTATGGGGCTCTATGGATGGCACAATCTGTCCAGAGGGTTCGAACTCGAAAGAGATGCTTTCATCTGTAAAAGAGCCGGACAAGCGCATATGTTTTCGTTCAGAAGAACGTGCAAAGAAACGATCCCGAGTAGAAATATCATCAAATTCCCGATACTGTCAGAAATAAAAATAAAATTATTGCAAATGCTAGTGGTCTGCTTCATATTAATACATCATCTTGAATTTAAAAATAAAAGCTTATTGGATCAAAAATCAGAAGAAAGTATTCGACTAAGTAATAGCCCTCATTAATTAAAGGATATCAAAAAATTTCGTTTTGCAGTCGAAATTAAATATAAATCGTAAATCAAAAGTGGCCTCTCATACAGGTTGGATTG